TCTGCTGGGCTGAACAATACAAATCTAACTGTGTATGACCAGCTTCAATCCCGTACCTGCCGCAGAGGAAACTTTATACTCCTTTGCTGTGTTCAGATTGCAGAGATACAAACAATATGGAGTTCTGAGAGGTAAGAAGCTCTGAGGGATTCCACTCTGTACACATGTCACAGGACACCAGATCCTCGGTGGAATTACATGTGAGGGACACACAGCTCAAAAACCTCATATTAAAGAGTTTCAAAGTTACCATGTCGATTACATTATATATACGGTACACTGTGCGTCGAAGTATATGTACCAACTCATATACAGGGATCCCAACCTGAAATACCTCATTTCAGGGAGGTGCCCTCTGTCAACCCCCCTACCTCTGGGGAGGGCAACAACAAGGAAGAGAGCACCCCCCTAAAATGATGGCAGATAGCAAAGAAGCTAATGCTTCCCTTGATATCTGCTGTTTTTTTATTAGTGTACTGACAGCTGCTGCCATCAGGACATAAAAAAAAACACGGCATAGGAACTAATAGCTAGATTGCTATTTCACCTTGCAATAGCCAATAGCAAGCTGGCTATTGCATCCGCCTTCTGCTGCTGTCAGTCAGCAGAGGTGGACCTGATGGAGAACTTCAGGTCCATCTCTGCTGATTGACAGCAGCAGTAGGCGGGTGCAATAGCAGGCTTGCTATTGGCTATTGCAAGGTGAAATAGCCAAAGCAATCTAGCTATGCTTTCCTATGCCATTTTTTTTATGACTGACAGCGGCTGGCGGCCCCGATGTCAGAAGAAAAAAAAAGACAGCACGGAAAGGTGTACTCTGCAGAGAAAACCTTTCCGGGAGAAAATGTTTCTGTCCGGGTGTATCTAATAGCAGGAGACTCCAGGAACATCCGGGAGAGTTGAGATGTCTGCATATACACTATAAACACTGAGCTCTGAGGTATATGTACTGACTTATATCACTGACTTATATACACTGAGTGCTGAGGTATATGTACTGACTTATATTACTGACTTATATACACTGAGTGCTGAGGTATATGTACTGACTTATATTACTGACTTATGTACACTGAGCGCTGAGGTATATGTACTGACTGATATACACTGGGCGCTGAGGAATATGTACTGTCTGATATACACTGATCGCTTAGGCCTATGTACTGACTGATATACACTATATACACTGACTTATATTACTGACTTATATACACTGAGCGCTGAGGTATATGTACTGACTGATATACACTGAGCGCTGAGGTATATGTACTGTCTGATATACACTGAGCGCTGAGGTATATGTACTGTCTGATATACACTAAGCGCTGAGGCCTATGTACTGACTGATATACTCTGAGCGCTGAGGCCTATATGTACTGACTGATAAACACTGAGCGCTGAGGTATATGTACTGACTGATAAACACTGAGCGCTGAGGTATATGTACTGACTGATAAACACTGAGCGCTGAGGTATATGTACTGACTTATATTACTGACTTATATACACTGAGTGCTGAGGTATATGTACTGACTTATATTACTGACTTATATACACTGAGTGCTGAGGTATATGTACTGACTTATATTACTGACTTATATACACTGAGTGCTGAGGTATATGTACTGACTTATATTACTGACTTATATACACTGAGTGCTGAGGTATATGTACTGACTTATATTACTGACTTATATACACTGAGTGCTGAGGTATATGTACTGACTTATATTACTGACTTATATACACTGAGCGCTGAGGTATATGTACTGACTTATATTACTGACTTATATACACTGAGTGCTGAGGTATATGTACTGACTTATATTACTGACTTATATACACTGAGCGCTGAGGTATATGTACTGACTTATATTACTGACTTATGTACACTGAGCGCTGAGGTATATGTACTGACTGATATACACTGGGCGCTGAGGAATATGTACTGTCTGATATACACTGATCGCTTAGGCCTATGTACTGACTGATATACACTATATACACTGACTTATATTACTGACTTATATACACTGAGCGCTGAGGTATATGTACTGACTGATATACACTGAGCGCTGAGGTATATGTACTGTCTGATATACACTGAGCGCTGAGGTATATGTACTGTCTGATATACACTAAGCGCTGAGGCCTATGTACTGACTGATATACTCTGAGCGCTGAGGCCTATATGTACTGACTGATAAACACTGAGCGCTGAGGTATATGTACTGACTGATAAACACTGAGCGCTGAGGTATATGTACTGACTGATATTACTGACTTGTATACACTGAGCACTGAGGTATATGTACTGACTTATATTACTGACTTGTATACACTGAGCCCTGTTCTGATATACACTGATCGCTTAGGCCTATGTACTGACTGATATACACTATATACACTGACTTATATTACTGACTTATATACACTGAGCGCTGAGGTATATGTACTGACTGATATACACTGAGCGCTGAGGTATATGTACTGTCTGATATACACTAAGCGCTGAGGCCTATGTACTGACTGATATACTCTGAGCGCTGAGGCCTATATGTACTGACTGATAAACACTGAGCGCTGAGGTATATGTACTGACTGATAAACACTGAGCGCTGAGGTATATGTACTGACTGATAAACACTGAGCGCTGAGGTATATGTACTGACTTATATTACTGACTTGTATACACTGAGCACTGAGGTATATGTACTGACTTATATTACTGACTTGTATACACTGAGCCCTGAGGTATATGTACTGACTGATATACACTATATACACTGAGCGCTGAGGTATATGTACTGACTTATATACTGACTTACTGTATATACACTGAGCGCTGAGGTAAGTGTACTGATATAAATCGTAAACAAACATAGGGTAAGGCCTAATTTACTATAATGTGAAGGGAACCTGAGTTCAAATTAAACTTTCAGTCATGTGCCAGAGAATGTAACAACATGGGGGGGGGGGGGGGTTCCTAAAAAACTGGAGCAGACAGAATCCGGAAAAGCCCAGGGCAACCAATCAGATTCTCCTTTCTATTTTCATAGCTAAACTGAACATACTAAAAAGAGAAGCTGATTGGCTGCCCTGGGCGTCTGCTCCCGATCCTGTCAGCTCCAGTCTTTATGAATCCCCTCAGTGCATGCTGCGCACACTAAACTTTCAATACAAGTTTCATTTGAAGTCACCAGTAAAAAGAAAAAAAACATTGTGTTACATTTTACAAGTGTGTCCTAAAACAGAAGGTAACATTGTGTACATGAGGAGTTCTGGTATTTGCTGCACTCAGTGGCAGTGAAGTGTCAATATTATGGTGTCACACTCACACAGCCACATGAAGCTCCAGTGTAAATAGTCTCACATTACAGTCACCTCAATGTCAACAACACATAAACTCTGCGCACACTTCCACAGGGTGTCTGCAGTCACCACTGAGGGCCTGAAAATGGTGTGAACCTGGCCCGAGTCGTGTTCTGTCACAATGCCTCAGGATTTTCCTGTCTAAGGTATATGTCAGTGACATGTACATGAAAATCCCTTCAGACCACCTAGAGAACAATAACCGCTGGTGACGCAGCGTGACTTCACACCACGTGTGTTTAATGCACAGTGACACATGTTAAACACACTTGCGTTGATGTGCGTTTTTTTAGCAGCCAGAACCGAAGTACTGTCATCTGTATTTGCGCTGCAGCACCGTGTGATACGTTGTCACGCAATTACAGGGTATGTAAAGGCAGCATGTTCCTATTGGCGCCCATCACACACCAACGCGTATTGTGATCGGCCTGAACTGAGTACGCACATAGGCTCTAAGCCCGTATTCACACCTTCATGTTTCATAAACACAAGACAAATGTGCACAAAAACACATGCTTTGATGCGCGTTTGCAAAAGTGAAGCAAAATGCGACACGCGTTCGCGTTGCCATTCTTTTTTAATGGCACCCCAAACACGTTTTTCCTCCACGTTTGTCACACATTCAGGACCCCACTGAACTCACAAACACGTGCGGCCTGGTGTGTTACCGGAACCCCATGGCGTGAACTGGGCCTAAGGCTGTGCCAAGGCCGCAGATGTCAGCAGACCTGTAGTGCTGTGTGCTGTTGTTGTCAATATTATGTTGTGTCAGCAGTTTTGTAGAGCTGTGGATGTTTTTGTCAGTGTTGTGTTATGTCAGCATTCTTGTAGTTTTGTGGTGAGTGTTTTGTCGTGTTGTGTGTGTGTTGCTGTTGTTGTCAGTGTTATGTTGTCTCAGCAGTCTTGTACTGTTGTGTGTGTTGTTGCTGTCAGTGTAATGTTGTGTCAGCAGTTTTGTAGAGCTGTGTGTTGTTCTTGTCCTCAGTGTTATGTTGTGTCAGAAGTCTTGTAGAGCTGCGTGTGTGTGTTGCCAGTGTTATGTTTTCTCAGCATGTTGTGTTGTGTCAGCAGTCTTGTAGTGCTGTGTTGTTGTCAGTGTTATGTTGTCTCAGCAGTCTTGTAGTGTTGTGTGTGTTGTTGCTGTCAGTGTAATGTTGTGTGAGCAGTTTTGTAGAGCAGTGTGTTGTTCTTGTCCTCAGTGTTATGTTGTGTCAGAAGTCTTGTAGAGCTGCGTGTGTGTGTGTTGCCAGTGTTATGTTTTGTAAGCATGTTGTGTTGTGTCAGCAGTCTTGTAGTGATGTGTGTTGTTGTCAGTGTTGTGTCAGCAGTCTTGTAGTGCTGTGTGTTGTTGTCAGTGTTGTGTCAGCAGTCTTGTAGTGCTGTGTGTTGTTGTCAGTGTTATGTCAGCAGTCTTGTAGTGCTGTGTGTTGTTGTCAGTGTTATGTCAACAGTCTTATGTTGTTATTGTTGTCAGTGTTATGTTGTGTCAGCACATTTGTGGTGAAGTTGCAGCTCCTATTCTTAGCACCCGGTGGCAGTCAGCCTTGTTGATGTCACACACACACACACACACACAGTTGTGGTTGTGCCCTCCTGTCACACGGCGTCACACAGCCATTCCCGGTTACCTTACAGGCGGAGTATACTCCGAGTTTCTCCAGTCTCTTCGCCCGGGGAGCGGAGCGGAGCTGACCCTTCTTAGCAGCGATTCTGAGCGGCGCTGCCCCGGCACCTCCCGGGCTCTCCGCTCCTCTGCCGCCTCCACCGGCCGGAGAACCCTGAGCTGCCACCATGGAGCCTCCCTCTGCCTCCGACATGGCACTGGAGCCTGCCCGGGGAGGAGAATGCCCCCCTCCGGTCTACAGATCCCTGGGCGAGGTGACGAGATCTACAGCCGCTCCCCCAGCAGGGAGGCAGCCGCAGTACATCACCGCCTCCTCCTCCTCCTCCATCCCAATCCTCCCTGCCTGCTGTCCACTTCATCCCTCATCCTCGTCCTGTCCTCCCTGCCTGCTGTCCACTTCATCCCTCGTCCTGTCCTCCCTGCCTGCTGACCACTTCATTCCTCATCATCATCATCGTCGTGTCTTCCCTGCCTGCTGTCCACTTCACCCCTCATCCTGTCCTCCCTGCCTGCTGTCCACTTAATTCCTCATCATCATCATCATCATTGTGTCCTCCCTGCCTGCTGTCCACTTCATCCCTCATCCTGTCCTCCCTGCCTGCTGTCCACTACATTCCTCATCATCATCATCATTGTGTCCTCCCTGTCTGCTGTCCACTTCATCCCTCATCCTTGTCGTGTCCTCCCTGCCTGCTGTCCATTTCATCCCTCATCATCATCATCATCGTGTCCTCCCTGCCTGCTGTCCACTTCATCCCTCGTCCTGTCCTCCCTGCCTGCTGTCCACTTCATCCCTCATCATCATCATCGTGTCTTCCCTGCCTGCTGTCCACTTCATCCCTCATCATCATCATCATCGTCGTGTCCTCCCTGCCTGCTGTCCACTTCATCCCTCATCATCATCATCATCGTGTCCTCCGTGCCTGCTGTCCACTTCATCCCTCATCCTTGTCGTGTCCTCCCTGCCTGCTGTCCACTTCATCCCTCATCCACGTCCTGCCCTCCATGCCTGCTGTCCACTTCATCCCTTATCATCCCTCATCCTTGTCGTGTCCTCCCTGCCTGCTGTCCACTTCATCCCTCATCCACGTCCTGCCCTCCATGCCTGCTGTCCACTTCATCCCTTATCATCCCTCATCCTTGTCGTGTCCTCCCTGCCTGCTGTCCACTTCATTCCTCATCATCATCGTGTCCTCCCTGCCTGCTGTCCACTTCATCCCTCATCCTCGTCCTGTGGGACCTGCCGTCCACTTACCTGGGCTGCTCTGCCCGGTCTTCATGTCTTCTCTGGGCTGCTCTGCCCGGTCTTCATGTCTTCTCTGGGCTGCTCTGCCCGGTCTTCATGTCTTCTCTGGGCTGATCTGCCCGGTCTTCATGTCTTCTCTGGGCTGCTCTGCCTGGTCTTTATTTCTTCTCTGGGCTGCTCTGCCCGGTCTTCATGTCTTCTCTGGGCTGCTCTGCCCGGTCTTCATGTCTTCTCTGGGCTGCTCTGCCCGGTCTTCATGTCTTCTCTGGGCTGCTCTGCCCGGTCTTCATGTCTTCTCTGGGCTGCTCTGCCCGGTCTTCATGTCTTCTCTGGGCTTCTCTGCCTGATCTTCATGTCTTCTCTGGGCTGCTCTGCCTGGTCTTCATGTCAGGACTCAGGAGCAGACCAAGGCTACATTCACTGTAATGAATCACATGTACGCGTCACTTAATACCTCAACTAGGATACCCTTACTTATCAATATTTCACATATCTCTGTATATGTATACACACCAATCAGAAATAATAATATCTAATAAATATTCTCCTGTTCATATTTTACAATTAAAGTAATACTACAGCTGAGCTTTGACTGTGGCTTTATATAGACCCTGCCACCACACCATGAAAAGCATAGACCACATTAATTTCATTTATATATATATATATATGCTAAGGTTCCTGCAGACTCTTACTGCAGCCCCAGGATTTGTAGTTTCAATACAGCAGGAGTGCCAAGGTTGCACACGGTTACCCCTACCCTAGCCCAGCTCTGAACAGCCTGATTTGGTGTACCCAGAAGATTTCAGTCCTAAACACTTCTGGAATCCAGCACAGTGTCCCAAGCCTGGGAGATAGCAGAAGATGAAGAATGCTCTACCCCCTGAGGTCCTGCTGCAGTTCACAGAGGAGGCATCAGGGGTCCTAACCTGTCTATATGCATATATAATCTCCTTTAAGGCCTGTGTCTTTGGGCTTGTGTCGATGGCATTGATTTGACATTAGTTTGAGGCGGTTCTGAGATCATTTAGAATTCACTGACACGTGCACCTCCTACTGACCTGCTTTTGACTTGGTTTAAGTGGGTTTTACATTCTCATAGCCTTGTATGGCAATGCTAAACCCACCTGCTGTGGGTAAAAGCCCATGAAACAGGCCCTTGTAGCAGCGGGCTGTGCTACATGTGGTGAGCAGTAACATCGCTCTAGCGTGGGACACCCAAATAGTGAGGCAGCAATCATTAGGTTGACCACTTACTTCCTGGTTGGTTGTCAGAAGGTAAACACATTTATCACCTGATTTGCCTGTATTGTGCATGTGTGGTGAAGCCCATGGCCAATAAAATTCCACAGGCGAGGCTCCTGTGGCCAAATAACTTAACACATAATAAGAATAACAAAATACATTATTTATATTTATTTTGTGTATTATCATTGTGCGTCAAGTTATGTGGCCGCAGGCGCCTCGCCTGTGAATTTTGTGGACCCACCGGCTTCCCTGCACATGCGCAGTAAAGGCAAATAGCCTGTGAAAATTCTGGACTCGTTCAGCTGTTCTGCGTTCGCGCGTTCAGCCGATGCCGCCTGCAACGGCTGAGACCACGTCACCCGATGTGACGCGGTTCAGATTTCGAACAAAGTCCAGCAATCTGTTGGAACACCGGCTTTTGTAGTGCAAGCACGGGCTGTGAGAAAGCACATGGTTGTAGTCATTGTTCGACTGACAATATTATACCCAGCTCCTTCATCAAAAGTCCATCAAAAAATCGACTTTTGCCACACGGAGCCGGCAATGCCATAAACTCCTCGAGTTTCAGCCGAGTCAGCTTTAATTGTGATGGACAAAAGAACTCTTCTCTCCGTCTGATAACTGCATCTTTTGAGACGGCATAATATTAATAGACGACTGGCGCAACAAGTGAAATCCAATGCTGATCCTGTAAAATAAAATAGAAGCTTTGCATCCTGTGGGAAGAAGCGGGATTACCGTCACTGCCCTATTTTCCCGTGTTGTGAAGCAAGCATTAATAGTGTACATGTCAGTGTGTGTATAATGTGATAACCAGGCTGCGTTTACTATGTCTGTGACTAAGGTGACAGTAACTATAGCAACATGTAAACACCCAGGTACATACACCAAGATAAAGACATCACCTGCGCTGCACCTACACGCTATATCAGTCAAGATAAGAAGCCTTTCTGTACGTTTACAGGTGAGTTTACCTGCATAGTACATCCCCTTAGATAATATATTTACTTCATCAATCACCAGTACTCATGTCTGTCACAATGCAATGTGTATAGTAAGCATGGCAATAGCATCCTTTACTGCAACGTGTCTAAACCTTATTATATTGTAAGGCCTTAGGAATGTTATAGCATACCGTATTTACCAAGTGCCCCCTGATGTGTTCCTATTTACCTGAAATACCACCCACTTTATTGTCTATACCCTCTTAAAGCATATCTAAACCTCTATATGATGTGAACATGTGCCAGTACCAGAGGGAAGGCCTTCCATATGGCATTCATGTGAGGTCACACTGTATACCAAGTATGAGATTATGACTGTGCTACAGCAAAGGTTTCATATACAGTTGGCATTGATTTGAAGTTACATGTGTGTGCATACTCCAAGGCAGGGGTAGGAAACCTCGGCACTCCAACTGTTATGGAACTACAAGACCCATGAGGCATTGCAAGACTATGACAGCCATAGGCAAGATTCAAACAGCCAGAGGCATGATGGCACTTGTAGATGCACCGCAGCTGGAGTGCCAAGGTTGCCTAACCTCCTCTAGGGATATATGACTACACTACAGTCATATATTCATTTTAGATTCAGAGATTCTTTGAGAATGCTTAAAGGTGCCCATACACTGTACGATTATTGTACGAGAATCGCGGGAAATCCCACAATCGTACGATAATCGCAAAGTGTATGGAAGGCGTGCGGCTGTTTTTACTGTACGGTCGCACGTCTTCCGTTGAACAAGCAGGCTGGAAAACACGCTGGGAATCGTACGATTCTCAGCGAGTTAGTGGCCTGCTTGTTCGATAACTGCTGAACGGGCCGGTGTGCACACGCGCACACGCACACTGCCCGTTTGCAGTCATCGGAAGCCCGTCCCTCATTGCAGTCATCGCAAGCCCGCCCCTCAAGGGCTTGCAAGCAGTAGATATATGCAAAAAGTTGTTTTTTTTTTTTTTTTTTAAACGCTTCAAAAGCGGTTTAAACTTACCCCTGTCTTCCCCACGTGCTCCTGTTCCGAAAATCCGAAACTGCTCGGGCGGCCTCAAAGCATCTTGGGGCGGGCGCATGCGCAGTTCAGATTTTCGGCCGGGAGACGAGCAGAGACGCAAGGTAAGTCTATGGACGCGTGCACCCACTTGCAGACACCCTGGGACAGGAAGTGCCAGCAGGGACAGGGGAGTCAGCACTGGGTTGGACACCTGCAGCAGCGCTGGAGAGAAGGCTCAGGACAGGAAAGAAGAAGAAGACCGGATTAAGAGACATCATTTAAGGTAAGTGCTGACATTAACATTGGTAAGTTACTTAAAGATCCACTTTATTGGCAGCTTGAAAGAATCTTGTGAAATTACTTTTACCCATTATTTTTTAAATAATAAATAAAATTCTCAGCAATATAACATCTTTAACATGTTTTCTATTATATATCATTAAATCTCAAATATACATTAGCAATTACATAAAAGATGCACTTAGTAGTCTACTTCTATGGAAGTAAGAACAAATTTGTTTTGTTCTAATGTTTGGGTTTAAATATTGTGCTGCCCCAGTAGCCTGTTTTTTTTTCTTGTTTATTGTATTGGTATGTTCCTCTGTTCTCCCCCCCTGCCTCTTTCTGCTGCTGAGTTGTTAGTTGCACTTTCCAAGCAGAGACAGGGCTTAGGAAAATCATTGCACTGATATGAAGTAGTTACATGGGATTCAACTTCTGTGCCTTAATAAAGCCATAAGCAGAACTGTGGACAGAATTTGTATTAACCTTTACATTGGAGTTGCCCCCGCACTGCAGGGGTCAACTGCTCATTTTTGTCTAGGATAAAAAATGAAGTTATACTCACCCACTCTGAGCTGGCTTGCTCTTAGACCAGTCCCTGAAGCCGCTTCTCTCCCGCTCCGCTGCAGCGGTCTAAAGTCCTGTGAGTCATCATGTCCTATACACAGTGAGGGGGAATTTATCAAAACTGGAGCAGACAGAATCTAGAGCAGTTGTCCATGTCTCTGCATGTCCAGCATCTCTCTTCAGTTTACTCAGGTAAGATTTGAAAATGAGACAGAAAAGCTGATTGGTTGCAGTGCCAATCTGCTCTAGATTTTGCCTGCTCCACTTTTTATAAATTCCCCCCCAGTGTATAAGACGTGTGGACACTAAGGGACCCACCATTGCTGCAGGGAAGGGGGATAGAGGCTCCAGGGACCAGTCTAAGAGCAAGCCAGCTCCATGGTTTGGGTGAGTATAGTCTTATTTTCTAGCACCTAGACAAAAACAAGCACTTAGCCGTTGCAGTGTGGGGGTAGCCCCACTGCAAGCGTTAAAGACAGTTTTGCCCAGAGTTCTGCTTTTAACAAACTTTGTATTAGTTTTATATCAGTCAGAATTCCCAAACTGATTTTATGGATTTGACTTTAGAATGAAGAACTCGGTCTTGCCAACCATCGTAGAAACATTGCACACTGATGTGCAGAATGCAGATGCTATTGAAGACCACAGATCTCATATTAATGATTTACAGTTTACTTGCTGTATATGCCGAGAACTCATCAATCCATGGGACATTTTACGCCACAAACAACACCACAAAGCGCGTTCTTTACTGGGCTATAAAACAGGCGACAATCCATCAGTTCTTCCCAGCCTCATCATCCAAAAAGAACAAAAAATATCTGGTATAGAAGCGTCTTTTGAATACAAACAGAGAGAAATCCAGAAGATCAACCGCTCCTATGAAATGCTAAAAGAAAAATTGCTTTTGTTGACGCCAAATATTAATAGAATGAACATAGCTTCTGAGGCCATCTGTCAAGTTATTAATATGGATATTAACAACGATATAGTAAGATCTATTGCCGCTTGTTCCGAAAGAAATGCATCTTGGCAAAGTGACATGGAAGACTCATTTGTCATTCTTAATAACTATGGGCAAAGGAAAAATACCTGTTTTGTTGGCATTTTTGATGGCTATCATGGAAAATCAGCAGCGTGTACCGCAACAGTAGAGCTTCCCATTTTATTATTAGATCAGATGTCAAGAGTAGATGATTCATATACACTGACTGAAGAGGAGAAGGTCTTTGTTAGTTCTTTTGATTCCGTTTTTAAGGAGGATTACAAGCAAACAGAAGAGAGCTTTACAACAGACAGAAGAGAAGCAAAATATGTCAATATTGAAGGCATACATGTAGCACATGCCAAAGCTTTCTGGCGTATGGATAGAATGTTGCGGTTGGGGAGAGGAGAGAGCTCCAAGTCACGCTGGAGTGGGTGCACTGCTGTCACCTGTCTACTGGATGGGCTCACCAGTGACAAGACAGAAGCCATGCATAAGTCAACACAAGACAGAAGAAGGCTTGGCATAATACATATAGCTAACATTGGTAAGTATGACCTTTAAAGTGGCACTAAACTTAGATGTTAATTCTTGAAAATGCATTCAAGTACCTTACCTTACATAACAAAAAAGTATCTTAAATGTGCATCATGCGACTGCAGATCTGTGCTCTGAATTTGTGCTACTACTGTCCTTCCTTCTGGAGGGTGGCTACTTTTGTTCCCAATGGTCCCTGTGTGGTTTGTAAAGTTGCCACCACTCCAAGCTTGCTCCTGTGATGGACTACAATCTCAAATTTAGCCTACTCATTTGTACTGAAGTTGTAGTCCATCCCGGCAGTGAGCCTGGAGCGGTGACTGTTTTACAACACACACAGGGACCATGGGGAACAAAGGTAGCCACCCTCCAGAAGGGAGGACAGTGTCAGCACCAATTCAGAGATGATTTGAGGATCTACAGCTGAGTGATACACAAATAAATTACATTTATGTTAAAAGATAAGGTACTTGAATGGTTTTCTTTTTAAGATTTAACTTCGGAGTTTAGTGTCACTTTAATCAAAATCCAAGTCTGGGCCAAATGTTTTTGTTTCTGTTTTATATATAGTGGAGAAGATGCAGCTTCTGTAAACATAAAATGACTGTTTGTGCTCCTGTCAGTGCCTCCTTGTTTCCTGTATGGGAGTGAGCAGAATCTCTCCAATAGGGGACAGGCAACAATAACTTGGGGAGTTGGGGAAGGCAACTCTCAAATGTTTTTTTCAAAAATAAATCCAGATCAAACAAATATAAATTGCCCAGCAAACAAATTTTTTGCCCAAGCACTTGTATCCATTGTGTTTCAGAACAGCTTCCTGTGCAGTACAAGATTACAAGGGTCAAATCAGTCTCCAGCAGCTCTATATCTGCAAGCTTGAAGAAGGGAAGAAGGAGAAGGGGCAGCAGGGAGCAGATAGTGGCTTGTCTTGCTGTCCCTGTGTGTTTGTGGAGACACACACAGCTTACCAGCTCACACAAGGGTGACTTCATAGGTCCCTGCAATGGGAAGGAGCCACCCTAAAACAGGATATCAGGGCCAGTGCTCAGGGGACCAGCTATTTCTGCAGGAAGCTAAAACTTTTAAACATTAAGGCCCGGTTCACACCTGGGCGTTTTGTAGTGCGTTCCTACGCTCTGCAAACTGCTCAAACACCGAAATCCCATTATTTCCTATGGGTATGGTTCCCACCTGGGCGTATTACAGGCCGTATGAACGCGCTACAAAACGCCCTACGCCCAAAGAAGTACAGGAGTTTCTTTGGGGCATATTTGCCGCGCGTATACATTGGGATACAGCCAGGTAGCCCTTGGAAACGCGCGTTTGTCGCTGTTTTTTTTTTACCGCGAAACGCTGGAAAAACGCGTGGCACGAAACGCGCGACAAACGTGCATATTCGATACGCCTAGGAGTGAACCCAGCCTAAGAAACAGCATCCATTGTAAGGGATTTAATCAACATTGAAATAGCTTAAAAAGCTTTCGGCTTTAATATCACTTTAAGCTGGCTATACTCTGATCAGATTTTGACCCCTTCCTGCTGACTCGGCCAAAATTCAATCTCAACAAAAATAAATGTTTCCATTTTTGACAAAGGAGCTGGGTGGAAAATTGTTGGCTGAACAGTGACTCTAGTCAATCAGCTGCAGTCAGTGGCAGTGTGTTACTGGCAGAATTACAAGGTGAATATGAAGGGGAAAAAATGGATAAAATAAAACTAATGCAGCCACCACATGTAAGGACTAATAAGCTGAAACATATTACTTTTTTTCATACTTGGGTTTAATTACACTTTAGCAAACTAGCACCGGCGCTGGCAATTCTTATCCTTAGCATGTCATAGCTGAGCAGGTCTGAGCCAGCATGTTCTCACATAATATAGTAGAAGCTTTCCAGATACTGTTTTATGTCATCCGTGTTGTCAGACTGAACATGTTTAAGGTGTCAGACACGGGACTGCATATTAGCTTAATCCCACTGCAAGGAAAGGAGCTAAACTGTTACTTGGTTTTTGAAACATTTCCACAGCTTCTTGTTTTAAAAAACAATGCCTCCAACATGAATGGAGTTCTTTAAAAAGAACGATCTTCCAGTAAGATTTATTTGCATTTAACATCATTTATTCATGTTTGCCTAAAAAAGTCTCCCTTGTGTAGATATCCAAAAGAACTGAGACTGATGCTGGGTGCTGCCATCTTGGATGTGATGTCAGCAGCCCCATCAGACTCAGAGCTGTCACTCAAATTCCACTCTATAATATTCCTCTTCATTCCTCCTCTGGCTGCTACATAAGGTTATGTAGGGTGGAGAGGGGAGCAGGCGAGAAGCTAGGCCAGCTCACACAGAGAAGGGGATTTATCAAAACGGGAGCAGACAAAATCGGGAGCAGTTGTGCATAGTACCCAATCAGTCTCTCTCTTTTATTTTCAAATCTTAACTGAACAAACTGAAGAGAAAAGCTGATTGGTTGCCATGCACAGCTGCTCCAGATTGGTACATTCCCCCCAGAGTATTTAGATATGTCCAGAAGAGGAGAGGGCTATGATGTGCAAGGAGAAAGGAGGCTGTACTAGGCAACTGACTCTCTTGAAGTAGTTATATTTGCTAACAAGCTCAAAGGACATTGCAAGTCAATAAAAACGTAATTTAGGTATGTATGTTCCGTTTATGATTCATTATACTTGACAAGTGACACGTGTTTTAATGTACTTGTAATCTGTTTACAGGAAAAGGAAAGAAATAAAAAATCTTTTGAACGAAAAAAAAAATGTAATTTAGGGAAAGCAAACATGCTGAATGTAAGTAGTTAATGCAGAAGTTTTGGAAGAGTAAAATGTACTCTTTCCAATCGTTTTAGCTGGAGTGTGACACTGCAGCTGTTGCATGTCGGCTTTATAGATCGAAAGCTGAGCGATTGTGAACAGCTGATCGCTCAGCTCATGGCTTCTCCCTGCAGAGAGCGGTGACTGTCAGCCATCGCCCCCCGCAGAGATTCCTATCTCCCCTATCTGTACCTCCAGCTCTCTTTGGAAGACAGACAGGAGAGGAGGCAGGCACAGCTGACTCTGGAGAGGCAGAGCCAGCTGTCAATCAGGCAGCGAGGTGGATCCCTACAATATTGTTGGGATCTTTCCTGGCTGCAGTGCGGCTCTACGATGTCAGCATATAGCTGGCATTCATAGTGCATTTGACAGGAAGTTTAGGTCTCAACAGATTTTTAAAGGAGTTTGGCAAACATTTTACACCCCCAACAAGTATCCCTAAGTTCCTGGACTGTCCGTTAATACTTTTGCATTCAGGACACATATTATACTTCCAGTGATAATATTGACATATATTGCAAGCAACATTCAAGCCACAGCTGGCCAATGGCTTAAATTGCTTCTCATATTCTCCCATCACCCCCACCAAAATTATGAGCATTCCAACCATGTCAGGATTCACCCCGCTGCCTGAGTGACAGCTGGTTCTGCCTCTCTAGAGCCAGAGCCAGCTGTGCCCGCTCCCTCCCCTGTCTGTTTTCTCCAATGAACGCTAAAGAAACAGAGAGAGGAGAGGGGGGAATTCCTGTGGGGACAGTCACCTCTCTCTGCAGGGAGAAGACCTTAAGCTGAGTGATCAGCGGTTCCTGATTGCTTAGCTCTCGATCTATAGAATGGGCATGTGACACCCTGTGACACCATTGTATTGTAGCTGGCAAGTTTTGCTAGCAGCTTGTTCCAAAAAAATGTTCACTTTAGCTCGGCTTTTAGATGAAAGTTTTATACATAACTTAAAAAATGGTCAGCAAATTTTCTGCAGTGTCACACGCTGGTTCTTAGTATTGGGAAGAGTATGTTTTACTCTCCCTATACTTCTCCTTTAGGGCCGGTTCACACCACAAAGAGTGCGTTCCAGAGCGTGCAACCTCTGGAATGCAACCCGGCTGGCTCCCTGCATTCAGGGGCGGGGGTGGAGCTTAATGATGTACATAATTAGCATGGGTGTAAATAATAATAATGTACATAATTACTTGTAATGAAAACTTTTAATTCTTGGATTTTGGGATTTGGATGTAGGTGTTTATAAAAAGTGCAACTTTAAAAAGTCAGTGCAGCATTGTTCTTAGCTCACAGCTGTATTGTAGTTTGCAAGTTTTGCTACCAGCTTGTCCCAAAAAATGTTTCACTTTAGCACGGCTTTAGATTGCGGTTTTATACATAACTTATAAAATGGTCAGCAATGGACCAGCGAAGAAAGAATCTGTAAAGAAAGAATCTGTATGGACTGTATAGGAAATGTTAAGACCGTCTTCTGTATAAATATACACGTTACCAAAATAGAGTATATACTTGCTAATTGAAGACTAGAACTAAATCCGGAAGAGAGAGATGTCCTGGTTTACAGGTTAATGGGTAGTGGATTGAAGACTAATGTATTAAGCAGAGCGTACAAATAATGTGCTGACACAGGTAAAAGATTATTCCATTAACCGGCAATTTTCACAATGAAGAATTTTCGCCGATTTTCATTATGGCTCACTATCTCCTCTGCAGCTCGAGAGACTCTACATTCCATTCTCAGGAAATGCTTTGCTCTTAAACATTTATGAAATGTGTGGAAAAAATAGACAGAAAAATGTTCCCTTATTCCAAGCACTTCCCTTTTCTAAAGCCAGGATGTGCTTGGTAATGTTCTCTGTAAATTGTACTTTTTTTTTTACAAAGTCGCAATTTCCATAGAAATGCAGCTTTAAATAGACCGTCATTTTACTCAAAGTGACTGTGCTCAAAAGAGAAAAGTATTTGAACTAGTCATAGCGGCCAGTACCTACCTTTTTTTTTTTTTTGGAACCGCAAGGCTTT